GCAAATGAAAACAACTTAGCCAGTTGCACAAAAAGCTGGAGGCTGCCCTGGCAAAGCTGCCCATTCAATAGGCACCCTTCCCTTTTGAAACAAATGAATAGTGCGTTGTTTCACCTTGCCCTTTCTTCTCCATGGGTATAAAGTTCCAAGGTGTTCCCTTTTCAGAGTCTCAGGTGAACTAGAAAGTTATTTTAAGACCAGTTTAGAGGAATTGCAAGGAGGGGGGCGGAGAACAGGTGAACAAGGAAGCCCGAAGCATCAGCTTGTGTGAAAACTAGAGAACAAACATCCTTGTGAAGTCCTTGGTTGCTTTCTGAGAATGGCTGTTCTATGCAGACGTTTTCATTACCCAACTGTGTAATATCATCAGTGCTAGAAGGGAAGTGCTCTCTGTTTATATACTTACCCTTTTGTATACAGAGAGTAAACCCCACTTCCTTCTAGCACTGATGATGTTAGCTAGTTGGGTATTGAAACGTCTGCAGGAAAGCTCAGAGAGCACCAAGGACCCCACAGTTCAACCCTGAGTTGGAAACATCCTAGTGACTGCCTGCCTACCAAGAAAATCTCAGTTGAGACAAAGAGACTGCCCAAGCTTCTTTTGAGGAAGCTGATCCAGATGGAAAGCTAGACACATTTTTTTGAAGCACAGGTAGACACCTAAATGAGGAATTTGTGGAGCTCAACATCTGGTACGAAGCCTGGTGGAATTTCTTTCTTTCTTTTTTCTTTAAATTTTTATTATTTAAACCAACAAAACAAAACAAAACATAACACACATATATACACAGTATATATTTTAACAGCAATTTCGTAACAGTAATCTTCTATTATTTACATTTCCCCCCCCTTATTCTTCTTTAGAGTATTTGTCCTTGTTGCCCCATTATTTCTTATTTGCATTTTTCTTCCTTCATACATTATTATATACACATTTTCCACGTTTAACTTTTCCACAATTATTCCCTCTTATTTCTACTTTCTAGCCAGACATACCACTTGCTCCATATTAAATAGTATTCTGTGTCTTCCTTTTCTTTTATCTCTTTTGTTAATTTGTCCATCTCAGCACAGTCCAGGATTTTCTTTATCACTTCTTCCTCTGATGGTATATTCTCATTTTTAGCCTGGTGGAATTTCTTAGGGGCACTTTCTGAAGCAGGACACAGTTGGGAAGGAAGATCTTCGTAGGCCATTAAAATAAACAGTACCAACAACGTTCAGCTGGAGGGACTGGTGTCCAGCCACGGATTCTTTGACCACCAGGTTGTTCCTGTCACTACAGAGCTGGAAAAAAAAAGTTGCACCTGGCTTGATTATAAACCTTCTGGAGATTTGAAAAAGAGGCTGGAACACTCACCTCTCAAAAATGATTTATTGCATATTGCAGAGGATTGATCCTGGCGATCGGTTCCAGCTCCATTGTTCTGTTATTCTTTGGCATCAAAGCTTAGCTTCCTGGATGGAATTTCAGGGGAATCCATGCGAAAGTCCCAAAGGGAAGACTATGAACAATTTTGCAATGGACAAATCTAAATATTCAAAATGCAAAATGTGATTGGAATTGTGTGGGTACACTGCAGCTCCTCTCCGGAATAGCCGAGAGCAACTGGGTAATTTCCTGAGGTTTGTACAGTTGTGTTTCACAGCTACAGTGTGATCCTGGTCAAGATGGGTTTGGTTTTAAGAGTTCTCTGCAGGGACTATGCGTCTACCACCTCGTGCTCTAAATCTGGACTTCCCTTCTGAATGTGGATCACTGCACAGCCTAATAAAATGGCCCTTTGTGGACATTTTCCAGTTCACACGTGCTGCTTTGCAAGACAAATCTCAGAGGTTTGCAAACCAATGGCCTGTATTACAATAACCTGCAAAGCAGAAGTTCTTTTTTTTTTTCCTTCCCAACCAGGTGTAAAAAGAAAGAGGAAGGAATCAGAATTCTTGGAAACAAAGCCAAATGCAGATTTGACTATGGAGCTTGGTTTGGAAATAGCTTCCCTATGAAAAAAAACTTCTTTTCTATAAAGTTGTGTCTGCCATAGGACTGAGTTCACACATGGAGTCCACCGCACAATGAGCCATTGTTGGCTGGGTTCACGCATGGCACAGTCCGCTGTTAGCTGTGTGTCCCTAAGCTGGCTCACAAATCCCAGTAGGCAAACAAGCTCACTGCGTAAACAAAACATAGCAATAAGGTCAAAGTCAAATTCAGAGCTGGTTCATCACACACAGTAGACTTTATCTTGGAAGAAATGTTGCTTGGTAGGGAATCCTGGAGGAAGGCTTCTATCTATCTTCATTCTATTCTATGGTGTATCTCAAGCTTGGAAACTAGAAGATGGGTGGACTTCAGCTCAAACGGTTCCCCAGCCGGGGAATTCTAGGAGTTGGAAATCCACACCATTTCAAGCTACCCAGGTTGAGAAATACTGTTCTAAAGGATTTTCAATGCCAAACTTATTGAAACTTGTGTCAACCTTTAGAAGTTGAGGATTAAGAGGTAGGTCTACACTTCAGCTGGTCCTGCTGGTTAGCAATCACCATAAAGTTACTTGAATTTGAATTCAAACGATCTAGATCAGGGGTAGTCAACCTTGGCTCTTTTATGACTCGTGGACTTCAACTCCCAGAATTCCTGAGAATTCTGGGAGTTGAAGTCCACGAGTCATAAAAGAGCCAAGGTTGACTACCCTTGATCTAGATTGTTATTTGTATCATTTTGACTTGAATGTTATTATTTAAACCCCAGGGTGTCCACTGGGTGGTCAAAAACGTTCAGGATGGCCATGCCACTCCGAAACCACACCTGCTTTTACCTGTAACCCATGAAAAGGGGAAGGTCTTCCAGCTTCCCTTCTTTTTAACCCCCATCTCCCGCATCTGTATTTAAGTGTTCTGTTTCCTAACACGAACTGGGTTCTTAAGACAAAGGGTTTGCACAAAAGACGTGAGCTTTCAAGGGATTCTCTTTTTGTCTTAGGAGAAGCAGTACCAGTACCTGCAACAAAGCCAGACTGACCAATGCCAAGTCAGCCAGCCAGTGGAACGAGTCCAGGTGATTCAGCAAGGCCAACGCACAACCAATGCCTGTAACTCCACTCCTGTCTATGTCAATGATGTTGGAAAGAGCAGCATTAATAAAGTTATCATACAGACACGTGAACCGGTAAGCCTTTAACCGATCAATACGTGTTTCTCAACTTTGATCACTTTTTTTTTAATAAATTTTATTGGTTTTTAAAACATAAATCACATAATAGTCGGTTAACAGTGTGTTTGCTTAGTTTACATTTGTAAGGAAAGATCGTTAACAATTGATTTCTATAATGCGTAATCCACATATTCAAGCAAATGTCTCTTTTTCTCTTAAATATTCTCTCTGGTGGGTCCCGTCGTCTATATTCTAAATTTTCATTTAATATTTTCAGTATGAATCAGAGAGTTTTTCCATCTATTTTTCCCCAACCAATTGTACAATTTATCCCAGATTTCATAATAATCTGTTTCACTCTTATCCTTAAGTTCTAGTGTCAACCTATCCATTTCCGCACAGGATAAAATCTTATTTATTATTTCTTCTTCTGAGGGTGTCTCATTATCCTTCCATCTCTGTGCAAAGGCTAATCTTGCTGCTGTTAGCATGTGTAATAATAGGTATAGAGATCCTTTATTGTATCTATCCTTAGTGATACCCAACAGAAAGAGTTCTGGTTTTAGCTCAATGTTCTGCATTAGTATCTCTGCTAGCCACTGTTTTATCAAACGCCAAAAGTTTTGTACTTTTGAACATTCCCACCACATATGATAGTAGGTCCCTAGTGATTCTTTACATTTCCAACATTTGGTCACTTTCAGACGTGTGGACATCAACTCCCAGAATTCCTTAGCCAGACAAGCTAGCTGGGGAATTCTAGGAATTGAAGTCCACATGTTTTAAAGTTGTCTACATTGAGATACAACATTTTAAGTGGATGTTTTCTGGTCCAAAAAGGACTCAGCTGTCTAGCTCAGAAGCCTCATGCATGGAAGAGTGCTCTTAGATGCACAAAGAGCCACTCTTTGCAGATAAAGTGGCTGTCAGTTTACAACACAATCAGATCAAATCTAATTTCTGAACCATTCTGCTCAAGTTGCAAAAATGGCCCACACCCAGCCTGGCGGGAAAGGATGCAGTTGCTCCCATTTTCTGCACTGAAATTATCAGGGAGTTAAATCAAACGTGTGCGATGTTCGCCTCTAGCAACTAGGCAGGTAATGTTGCAGGAGCCTCCACAAGACAATTCATTCCAAGTTCGCCACAAGTTATGAAACAAAATAAATTTAGGTGGAGTGCTTGGGAAAAAGGAGAAGGTTGAATTCTAATTAGGCAAACAGCAGCCACATCTGCTTTGTGGTGCCTTGAGAGGCTGAAGACGCATCGTGGGAAACCAGGAAAAAAGCTGTGTTTTTCCCCCCCAAACCCTCCTCCTTTGTGAAGAACAAATAATAATAAATAAAAAAAGTAGAAAGCAGAAATAACATAAATTGCTTTGTGCTGTTTTAACTGCAGCAATGAAGTTTTTAACTGTATATTATGCTGCAAAGTACCAAACCTTTCCCCCCCAAAGCATTTGAGTTTTTAAAGCGTTTGCCTTTTCTTTTTACACTTCTTCCCCCCCCCCCAAGTTTAAACTGCTTTATTGAAAAATTAGATTTGCTTTTGCACCATAGGCCATTAATCACGGTTTATCAACCCCACTGACTGGCTTGGTAGAACACATTGACTCAAAAGCAGGCAAACCAAGTTACGAATAAAAGCAAATCTACGTGTCCCAGGATAATGTTGCAGGATCCAATCTGGGTCAGTCACCGAGATCCAAGTTTTATTCTTTTTGAGCTTTTGGATTCGTGCTGGAGCCCATCTAGGGGAACATCTCTCTCTTCACACATTCTTGTGAGAGAGAAATTCCCTGAGGATGGGCTTCAGCATGAATCCAAAAGCTTGGAAGCCTCTAATCCCGGGGACCGACCCAGATTGGATCCTGCAAACCAAGTTCCATCTTGCATTGCTGGTGGCAAGAAGAATTTCACCGCTGCAGGACATTCTGCGTTTTATTGATGCCTTGGGTAGGAAATAAGGACATTGAAGAAATAATGAATCAAGCTAGAAATATTTGAAAGGCACCCCAAGGGGAGAACGTGTGCAGAAAAGAGGCCAATGCAGTGTGCAATCAAGAATGGAGGAGAGCTTTAAATCAGCCACTTGCCTGCTAAGGGTTGAACGTTGCTTTCTGCTCAAGGAATGGGCCACTCTAACGGGTGTCCTTTATGATCTCCTTTCAGGTGAAGTACATCCAGGAGACAAATGACCAGCTGGACTGCCGATACTTTGGGGAGCTCCTAGCAGAGCTGCACCGCAAGAGCAACGACCTGCACAGCTGTTTGCTCCAGCATGTTGAGAAGCTGGGCGGAAGGTAGAGGTCCCATCCCCAGCGGTAGCATGCTTGGAATTTGGAGAATGTTTGGCAGCCCTCCTTGGAAAGGAAGCAGAACTGCTTGCCTGAACAGCAGGCTGCAGTTCTGTTTGTTTGCAGTAATCCTGAGAAGCGGGGGGTGGATTCAGGTTTCCCGAACCCCATTCAATCAATTTCCCTTGAATTCCTCTAACTTAAACATCCTTGGTTCATTTCTGTGAATAGAACACATAACTCCAACCCTCGTATTATGTATGAATGTTGTCACAACATTCTTAGTTTTTCAGTTACAGATGGTCCTCAGTTAATACGGGAAATACTGTCATTAAGTGATGTGAGTCAAAGCAAGAACATCCGATGTTGTCAAATGAAATCTTAGCAATGGCAGTTACAGCAGTCTCCAGTTACCATTGTTAAAAGAGGACCTTGCATGACAGCAGCTTCCGACTTCCTACTGTCTTCCCCATTGATTTTGTGGGAAACTGGCTGGGAAGGTTACAAGTGGTGATCATGGGACTCTACAATGCCAGAAATCCAGGCCAGTTGGAGGTCCTGTGGCAGCTGGAATTTCAAGGACTGGTTGTAAATGCCACCTGTTTAGCACCATTGCAAGTGTGAATGGTCACTGAACAAGTGTCATTAAACAAAGTCCACCTGTATATAATTGCTACATACTGATCTCCCAAGTCAGGCTAAACCATAACGTGGTCATAGTTTGCACGATAAATCACAGTTGCCCGGGTTTGTGCAATTGACCTAGCCATTAAAAAAGAAGAGTCATCGCTCTTCCGATCCTGACTGCCACCAGTTGGACTGCATTACAGGGACGTGCTTATTTGTGGATGGGTGTGTTGTATCTAAATATTTACACGTGATGTTCCGGAAGCAAAGCATAGTTTTATTAAAGGTAATTTAGGATATGCGTTTCTCAATTAAGTCAGAATGAAAGACTTACCATAACAACGGTGGTGACAATTATAATGTACTCGGTGGATAGAGAAATGACAATGCTAATATTTTCTTGTGTTTCTCTTACAGAAGATGCGATCTGGAATCCCTGAATGATGTAAGTGCCAAGAATTTATAGAAATATCCGAGTTTTGTGCATTAATAAGCAAACAGTGACTAGCTGTCTTTCATGTCCAATCCAATAGGATTTAGACGTGAAATTGAACCCAATGTTTGATTAATTTGTAACGGCACTCCTGGATAATATGTATTTTATTTCTTGTTTTGTTTCCAATAGGCAGAGGATATTGAGAGTTTGATTCCTAAAGGGCTTTCGGAGTCGACAAAACAACAGATACGTTACCTTCTGGAGGTAAGGGGTTATGGAGAAATTTGTGGAAATCCAAGGAAATTGTGTTGTGAAGCCATTTTTGCCCAGACCCCTACACACTACCACACAGTACTGATGCATTTGGCATACTTACTTACTGTCCTTCCTATGATGGGATCCCGTGTTGATGAATAACCACTATATGTCAGCCCAAGAGTGACACAGAACAATCCAGCCAGAGTTCAGTTCTTTATTTGCTTACACACAACAGACAGACTCTTGCCAGAGTAAACCACTATTACTGTCACAGCAATTGGATATTCCCTGGGAGAGTCTATGGAATTGCTGTCTTTCTCTGCCTCCGATCCAGTTCTGGGCTGGGCTGCCTCTTGTCTGACCCGCCTCCTTAGATGATGCTCCCGTCTTCTTGGGAAAGTACCACTTCACCATCCCTCATGCAATATAATTAGGAAATATGCAATAAATCATATTCATGATAGGAGGCATTAAAAGCAACAAAAGATAAATGAAATGAAATCTCAAGGTGTTGGAGCAAATAACACGACTCAGTGTTCGGCCTAAAATATTGGAATAGTAGTGTCCGAGTTGGTAAATGTATTCTGAGCTCAAACGTGATCTATCTTGTTTCCTATTCCTTGTGGTAGCATGGACACTATTCAGGATAATCATACGATGGGAAACCAAGGAATGCTATTTTCCCCAGATTTTCACCTAGCCCAGTGGTGGCGAACCTATGGCACGCGTGCCAGAGGTGGCACTCAGAGCCCTCTCTGTTGGCATGCATGCCACCGCCAGCAGCAGGTCCATCAGGCTGCCACCACCGCCCAGCACAAAGAAGGTGAAGCGATCGACCAGCAAGCTCGAGTAGAGGTGGTAGAGCAGAGGTCACCAATCATTGTCGATTGGTGGACTGGAAGAAAAGGGAGGGGGAAGTATTTTACATGTGTGTGTGCACGCACAGGGCCGCGAGTATGCACGCGCTGCAAATGAGGGGCTAGTGCCTGCATGATACTCAACTAGCCCTGCCCCATTCTTGCTTGGTGCAGCACCTTGTATCTGCACCCCGCGGTGCAGCGGTGGCCGTTTTTGCACCTTGCAGCACGGTGGGCCATTTTTGCACCCGTGGTTGCACCCCTGAGGGCACCACAATGCTGATGGGCCCCTGGCACTTTGCAATAAATAAGTGGGTTTTGGGTTGCGGTTTGGGCACTCGGTCTCTAAAACGTTCGCCATCACTGACCTAGCCAGTTCTTACCAACAGGACATTGGAGTGTGATTGAAGATTTGAATTGTCCTGCCAGTCTCCAGCTCGCTAACATGCTTGAAACTATGTTTGATTTCGTATTGCAATCTGTCTGCTCCAAAACCATCCTAAACAATGTTTTGCTGTCCACCTTTCCTAGATGAGAGCAACAGCTGATAAGTCCATGCGACTTGTCCTTACCACCTTCAGCAACCTTCGGGAAGAGCTCGTCCATCTGCAGGATGACTTAGGGGTGCGTAGTTGTGTTGCTTAGAATGCGTGGAAGCGGGTTGAACAGCCGTCCCTGAACTGGTGTCTTCCAGATGTGTTAGGACCTGCGGGTTGGAATGTACATTTCAGACACATCTGGGGGAGGCCAGGATAGGGCAAGCGGCACCCAGATGGTACTTGTGATCTAGAGCCAGGATTCATAAAGCAGTTTCCGATTTTCAAGATCCTCTTCTTGCTTTTGAGAATCGCCTTGATTGTGAGTGACATGCATACAAATTCCGGGTAGACATTTCTGATCCTTTCTTGGATGGTGGAAATGAAAGCTGCGTCAGTCACCATTTCTCAAAGATTGTAAAGCAGCTTGCAGTTACTTTTCTCTTGGGACAATTGGAACAATCTTTTGGGACCGAACCATGGAGAATAGGTGACTGGGTAGTTACGAACCATTATGTACTTGGGACGTTTTCAATTAGAGATATTTTGCATTGTTTGCAGTTTCATTGGAAACTCTGACTGATCCCTTTGTTCGTTTCCCCCACGCTTATTTTTCAACAGGTTACTGGCTTTTAATCCATTAATTTCTGCCCCTCTTCAGAGGTACAGGTGCAGGTGTGAGTCTCAGTGTGCCGCAAAACAAGAAGGGCACATTTTAGGACTGACTTTATGGCTCAGCCATAAACCCACCCAGCCTTTGGAGATCCAAGCATTCCAGTTTCCTGGATCGAGAGAGAGAGAGAGAGAGAGAGAGAGAGAGAGAGGGAGAGGGAGAGGGAGAGGGAGAGAGAGAGAGAGAGGGAGAGAGGGAGAGAGAGAGAGAGAGAGAGAGAGAGAGAGAAAAGAGAGAGAGAGAGAAAAGAGAGAGAGAGAGAAAAGAGAGAGAGAAAGAAGAAAGGAAGGAAGGAAAGAAAGAAAGAAAGAAAGAAAAAGAAAAAAGAAAGAAAGAAAGAAGGGAGGGAGGGAAGGAAGGAAGGAAGGAAGGGATATAGCATATAGAACTTTTTTAATATATGATTTGTTTATAAATTGTGAGGCAAACAGCCAGCCAGATCTGTTTGTAACACAAATAGAATATTTTGAACAGCCTGTCTTTGGACTTTTACAGAAACTGGAAATGGACAAGATGCTGCTTGAGAAAGATCTGTCTTTCAAGGAAGCTCAAGTAAAAGAATATGAGACGCTTTTGGCATCTGTGCGTGAGAATAATCGTCAACAGCAGGTGAGGGGCACACCTTGTGGTACCAAATGTTGGCTCCTGATTTAAACTGTTGTCTTGTCCAGCGGTCGGTTTTTGTGTTGACCTATCAGTTGATCTAATCCCAAAAAGTTCTATTACCAAAAGAACCTTGGGGGGGAGAGAACACCAAATCCTGTGAAAACAGAAAAGGTTGGCGGGGAGAAGGATAGAAAAACACAATCAGCAGATTAGTTTAGGCTAGATCAGTGTTTCTCAACCTTGACAATTTTAAGGCATGTGGACTTCAACTCCCAGAATTCCACAGCCAGCAATGCTGGCTGTGGAATTCTGGGAGTTGAAGTCCACATGCCTTAAAATTGTCAAGGTTGAGAGACACTGGGCTAGATAAACATTTCCTATTCCTGTTACGAGAGGGAAAAAAATCTCATATGTTGAATACTGTGATGTTGTACAGTCATAACCATCATGTCTTGCTTTGTAGCTTCAATGTATGTCTAAATTCTTAGGCAATAACCACAATGAAAGGTGACTAAGTGTGATGTATGAACAACATGTACAATGCTGGTTATATGCCATCAGGTTGGCATTGACTCTTAGCAACCACATAGATTTTCTCCGAGAGGATCTGGCCCTGACTTGGGCCCTCAGATCTTCCAATGGTGCTCCCATCACCACTGTAATAGAGTCCCATTTTCCTTGCTATTAGTTGTACACTTCTTCTCTTTCCTAGCATTCTCCTACTTTGTGCGCAGCGTAGGATAGCCCAAATCAGAACATTGGTGCTTCAAGTGAGAACTCTGGATTGCCAATAAAGGAGAATATTTGTAGCACAAAGTTGAAATGAGGGGTCCTTGATGCTCTCTCAGCTTGGCTGTTTTCTTGCAGATGTTTCACTACCCAAACTGGATAACATCATCAGTGCTAGTAAGGAATGGGATTGAGAGCAACCCAGTTTGGCAATGAAACATCTGCAAGAAAACTGTCAAGCTCAGAGAGCACCTAGGCACCCTCAGCTCTGGGTTGATTTGTTCAATGATCCATTGGATTTCTTGGTGGTTCTTGGAATTCTCAAGAGTTCAGAAGCTTCATTATTCTTTCTATCTTGCTTATTCAAAGTCCATGGATCATGGTTCCGACAGATGATATTCTTCAAAGAACTTCGAGGCATTGTTTACCTTAAAGAATCTTTATTCAAGTAGCATGGCGTCGGCACGTACATGGTCAAAGCCAAAATCTGAATTCCCCTCCCCTAAACACATAGTATCAAAGCACAATTCCCTCCTCCAATTAACAGTCATAAATCACATTCTCCAGTTAGTTTGAAATGCAAACCTTCCCTCCAGTTCCATAACCCGCCATTCCTTATCGTCTCTTATTTCAAACAGCCTGGAAGAATACTCCACTGTGATGTTGTTATGTCTAACTAATCCCCATACACATTCTTCCCCCTCCCCCCCAGCATCATCTAATTCTAACTCTAAAAGTAACACACAGGTTAGAGAGAAAATGGCTGCATCTTCATATATTGTCAAAGCAAGAACATCCGATGTTAGCAGCGTTGACACCATGTTTGACAGGATGGTCAATCAGAAATATTCCAAGGTGACCAGCACGTAGGAACAGTGGCCCAACATGGTAGCAGAGAATTGTGAAAATACACAGATATACAGATGCAACTGCATTAAGCTAAGCCTTAAGGAATTAGGTTTTCCCAGCTGGCAAAGACACTTAAGACTGTTTCCTTTTGGCTGGGGTGGGTTTGCAGCAAGCTCTCCGTGAATACACCCTGAAGTGTCGTTCCCTGGAAGAACAACTGCTGTCTCTCCGTCACAACGACAGCGAGCGGGAATTCCGCCTGAAAGACCTGGAATACAGCAAACGAGCCTTGGAGCAGGAAATTCAGAACTTGAGACTCCAGGTAAACCGTCTTCCTGTCTTTCCGTTGGTCAGTGGTCAGCTGATGCTTGGAATTCCAAGGACTAGCCTTGAAAAGAGAAGGAGGACCACAGTAAAAAAAAGGGGGAGGGGGGTCCGGTGAACGGACAGCAGCCTCTGCCCATTGAGGTCAACACTTTCTTTTCTTTCTACATCTCTCTTGGATCCAGAAGCAGAATTGTCATGGGAAATTAGATACGGTGGCCACTCGTTTGCAGGAAGTTGCGCTTTGGAGGCTGGGCTGTGAGAAAGCAGGTTGGGGATGGAAAATACACAAACATCTATTTAAGTACATTTAATCTGAATCGTGATTCAATACATTGGATTTTTTTCAAAATATAGATTAGCAAAGATTTTGGACAATGGCTGCTGGTTAACGGAAACTGCAGTGAGGAAGGAAGAGAGAAAAAAAGAGAAAGAAAGAGAAGGAAGAAGGTGGAAAGGAAGGAAAGAGAAAGAAAGAAAGAAAGGAAGGAATGAAAGAAAGAAGGAAAGAAAAAGAAAGAGAAAGAAAGAGAAAGAAAGAAAAGGAAGAAGGTGGAAAGAAAAGAAAGAAGGAAAGAAAGAGAAAGGAAGAAAGAAAGAAAGAAAGAAAGAATGTTCCATAGGATAAATCTCTCATTATGTGCTTTAAAGAACTGTTAGTGGTTTCTTTTAATTGCAGAAACTAATTTTTTTCCTTTGCTCAGACTTCCACCAATCCTCTGGGCCAGACCACCACAGATGAACTGTCCAGCCGCTACGTAGAGATGATCAACCAACTCAGAGACGATAAAGACCGGGAGATCCGCACTCTGCGGGTAAGTTGGCTTCCTTATCAAAGATGCCACATTGTTGGGCTCTCTTTTAAGCCATTCCCATTTTGCAGAGGTGGGCCTTCGACAGGACTTGATACCTGGCTGGCCTTGTCTGACCTGGAACCTGGGTTGGGTTGAGATTGTTAAACAGAGGACCACATGGACATCCCCAAAAGTACAGACTAGCCTGGGAGGTTAGCATCCATTCCAGAAGGAGATAGCGGCAAACGATTTCTACCCTGTTACCCTGACAATTGCATAGTGACACCCATCGGATTCAGCTTCACTCAGAGGCACCCAGATGGTCCTTGACTGCCATTTGCTTAGTGATCATTCAAAGTTATGGCACTGGAACAAGTGACTAATGACCATTTTTCACATTTACGACCGTTGCAGCATCCCCATGGTCAAGTGCTCAAAATGCAGATGCTTAGCAACTGGATCATATTTAGGACGGTCGCAGCGTCCAGTGGTCATGTGACCACTTTTTGCCACCTTCTGACGAGCAAAGCCAATGGGGAAGCCAAATTCACTTAACAGCCCTGCTTCAGACTTAACAACTGCAGTGATTCGCTTGACTGTGGTGAGAAAGCTTGTAGAATGGGACAAAACTCAACAAGTGTCTTGCTCAAGCAACAGAAATTTGGTTGTGGTCGTCAAGTCCAGGATTACCTGTATTTAGGTATGACAAAGCTGCCTCTTGAGCACTTATGAGCTTTGTTGTCGTTGTTGTTGTTGCCGTGTAGTGCACGTTGTCCGAATTCCAGAAGGATTTCTCAAGAAAGCAAGGGACTGACACTGACCTGCAGATAAGACTGCAAGACTTGATTCTGAAGCTGGAGGAGAGAGAGGCCTGCATCAAACGGCAGGAAGAGGTAAGTCGAGGCGCATGGAGAGTTGATCAGATTCTTGGCTCAATCCCTAATCAAGGAGCCCTGAAGGAAGAAGCCACACCCCAACTAAGACTAGCAAGGCAAGCTTCTGTAAGCTCCAGCAAAACGTCACTCCCCCCTGCACTGATGATGTTGCCTAGCTTGGTAATGAAACATCTACAGGAAAACAAGATCAGGAAACTACCAAGAACTCAACCGTCAATCTCAGATTTCTCCTAGCTGTCCGTCTGGGTCCTGGGATGGTGTCCATGAGTAGAATTTCATCCTAGTCACTCTTTAATTTATGTCGCTTTTCCTCGGGATCTATTTTCAGCAAGCTTAATCAGCATTGGGAAGGTTCTGAACGGCCAAAGAAACAGCAGGGTATGAAATGTTGAATAGTCTATATGGGATGATGTCTTTGTGCCTGAAATGGTTTCTTTTTTTTTTTAATCTTTTAGGAAATCTTCAGATTGAGGCAAGAAAAATTAGCCATCAATCCATCCCAAGGAATCACAAAGACCATCATCACAAAAAAGTAATGCTATCGCAAGCAACTGTTGGTTTCTGTTTGTAAAATCTACAAGTGTATTTGGGTTTTTTTGGGTACTGATCTTTTTGCCAGCAAACTTAAAAACAAATATAAACTGACACTAGGCCATAACACAACAGCAGAAACTAAAACTTATTGAAAAAAATACACTTAGAATAAAATATACAGAATGTCTTTTTTTGGAATGTAATTAAAAACCACAGTAACCCTCCCTGGCAGGGTTTAATTTAGCTAAGATTCACAATCCTATTCCATAGGAGAGATTGAAATAGAAAACATTTCATTGCTTTTATCACAATTCACATTAAATTTGGTCTCCCAAACAGCTGGTGAAAATCCAAATTATAAAAGAAAAGACGGGGAAAAAACCAAAAGGAAAAAATTAACAGATACAGTGCAGGAATTTTTGTGCCATGTGTATCCTCCCATTTCTTCTCAATGTAGATAAATAAAATTATAGGTATAACTCAACTGGCACAGTTGGATTTTTTTAAAAATAGGGTGGCCTAGAATCCTTTGTGTGTGTGTTTGACTCGGTCTATGACAAGTCACTGCAGTCTTGGCAAGATCTGGGAAATGGTTTACCATTGCCTGCTTCCTAGGGCTGAGAGAGAGTGACCGGCCCAAAGTCACCCAGCTGGTTTTCATGCTTAAGGTGGGACTAGAACTCACGGTCTCCCAGTTTCTAGCCTGATGCCCAAACTACTAACCCTAACTGGCTTTCAATCTAGTTGTGACAATTGTTGCAATAGACAGATTATAGTCCTGCCCTGCTTGGAAGAATGGAACAATGGCATCTGAGATCGAATTGAGCATCGGGGCTAATGTTTTGCTTTTCGCCGCTTTTCACCACCAGATACAGGAATCATTACCCCATCCTTGGCCTCTTATCCGATGACTACAAAGCCCCATCACCTGGTGGGGAAACACAGACTATCGTGATTGAAAAAACTGGAGAAACATGGAAGGTAACTGTCCCTGACAGAAATGTCTTCCACATTCAATTAGATGTGCGGGAGCTTTAGGATCTGAGCCTTAGGATTGTAAAAGATGGGAGGTAGTGGGAGAGCAACCCAATTAAAACTACAGGTAGTTTTTGACTTGACGCCCATTTGTGATGTGACAGCGTGGAAAACGGAACATCGCGCTATTTGAAATCCATAGCAAGGTGAGGTGTTTGCTACCTCTGTAGCTCCATCGCAGAGCTCAGAAAGCTAAAGTGCATCGAACATTTCAAGGTATCCGTTTGAAGAATGTATCGTCTTCAACTCCCGTGGTGTATTTCCCAACTGAGAAAAGTCCTCGGCTTTTTGTGACATTTTGTGACCGTTCAAAGTTACGACGACACTGGGAAAAAGTGACCTTTTTTCACACGACCTTTGCAGCATCCCCAGGGTCACGTGATCTAAATTCGGCCTCTTGGCCAGTGGCTCATATTTATGACATATAGTCTACCTTTTGTGACTGTCTGATGAGCAAATTCAATGGGGAAGTTGGATTCACTCAACAGTTGTGCTACTAACTTTACCAGGGCAGTGATTCGAGAAAAGCTGTAAAATGGGGCTAAACTCCATTAACAGCTGCCTTGCTTAGTTATGGAAATGTTGAGCTCGGTTGTGGTCGTAAGGACTACCCGTGTTTGTGCAGAAAATGCTACTAAACATTTGGTTCGCAAACTCATACAGCCTAAGGCAGGGGTAGGCAACCTTGGCTCTTTTATGACTCGTGGACTTCAACTCCCAGAATTCCTGAGCCAGCATGACTCAGCTTGGAAACTTCTCCCTTTCCCCTCAGCGTGGCTGGCTCAGGAATTCTGGGAGTTGAAGTCCACGAGTCATAAAAGAGCCAAGGTTGCCTACCCCTGGCCTAAGGCAATGGCGGAATAGCATATTACAGGTTAGCCAGGAAACCTTAAAATTTTTTAGTAATTGCTGTTTGGTCTTGAAGGCCAACTCTGTGCATTAGCCAAACAAAACCCAAAGAGTTTGGCATAAATAGTGATTTATCTCTTGACACATATCCTAGCGAAGAGGTGGAGATGAATAACATATCCTGTTTCTTTTCCAACAGGAATCGTTTACTTCTGATTAAAGACCTGCTGGCGTCTTTCAAGCAGGTCTGCTGAACAAAGTTGTGGCTGGTTAGATGAGTCTGCGTCCAAATGAATATTGTTGCGTTATTGTTTTGCTTGCCCACCCCCTTCATGTAATGCTGGAAGTCTCGATATAATTCTGGATCAGTCAGGGTTGGAAATAATTGTTAAAAGCACACACTACCAAATGCAGCATTTGAAGAAGTTCTTCGCCCCAGTTGGTTTCTACTTTCAAGCTTGACTGGTCAACTGAAGAAATGTATGGATATGTGGGCCAGGAAGGGATCTGGGCTGGGGAATTAAGAAAACACATGTGTGCTGGCCAAGCTTCTGTCTTCTCCCTTTTTTACTCCAAAGATCTGAGAAACTATATCCAATACCTACCTGATTTAGAGATGCAGAGATCAATAATTACTGAATAAATGTTTTTTCTTCATTGGGAACATTCAGCCCAGTACCAATATTATATCTAGGAATGCTGCTTCCAACACAGCCTGTTAACGAAAGCAGTCGAGAGTTATTTGACAAGTATACTTTTCTTTAATATGTATTTTCTCACTAGCAGTTTTCTGTTCTTTTGGAACGAGATGGAGTTAGTAACTTTAGTTGAAGTACTTAATTGGTAGTACTTGGGTGTAGGGTTAGTTTTTTTTGATATTGTTGTAGTTACTCTGTGATGTGGTGGGTCAAATCTTGAACAGACATGTTTGGACTTAAAAATGGTAATTTGTTGTTCTATCCTTTGATTTGTGCCATGAAGCTAAAATCTAAGATGTGGAGAAGGAGGAATGGAAGGAGAATTGATTAGAAAGCAATTTTGCTAGTGCAGTTGGTTAAGATTTGTGTGTTGTTCAGAGAAAATTAGATAATGCTTATGGACCTCTTCAGCATGAAGCTGAAAATTGATTTTGAGATTGGAAAATTGTGCTTGTATGAGTGCAGAGACGGATATGATGGTGGATTCACACCATCACAAGCAAAGTTGGTTGAACTTGTACTGCACTGCCTTCCATCTAGTGCTGGGGAAGACGGCACCTCCCACTCAGAAAGACAAGGAGAGATGGAGAATAGATGACACATTTGTAGGAGAGATGTCTTAGATTCTGCTGTGCATAGATGCGACGTGCTTGCTTATTCTTGGTGGCTTGTAGAGTCAACTAACTGATAAAGGATACTATTTGTAGCTCAGGGTTGAAATGAGGGTGCCTTGATGTTCTCTGAACTTGGTCGTTTTGTTGCAGATGTTTCATTACCAAATTAGGTATCACCATCAGGGCTAGGAGGAGTGAGTGGGGTGTGTAACTGTGTCTTGTACGTAAGTAGAGAGCATGCCTCACTCCCTTCTAGCCCTGATGATGTTACCTAGTTTGAACGTCTGCAAGGAAAAAACCAAGCTCAGAGAGCACCAAAGAACCCTCAGAGTCAACTAACTTTACAAATGAAAATAACTTAGGGGGTCATAGAAAGATGTGTAAGACACAGTCTCAAAATTGGCCTTAGATTTGAGGCTGAAGAGCTTGCAGTTACTAGTCAACACAAGGAGAGCATCCTATTTTGTGCTGCCACATTGATAGTGCAATTAACATATTGATGTAACTGTTTAACCTTGCTTCAAGATTGACAGACATGGGGCTACAGAATGCAGAACCTCCGTAGAATAATAGGTGGCAGAGAAAGAAATATGAAAACTATTCTTTACTTCCATTTTTGTCGCACAGATCTACGAAGCCCGGTTAACCCCTAAATCTATCTATCTTATATATAAATAAAAATGTAAATGTTCGTTTGTTCAAAATCTTAAATCTCCGAAAGTTCTTCACCGATTGCTTTGAAATTTTGACACAACATTGCATTCGAATACGCGCGTGTTTTTATATACCTATATTATATAGATGTCACACCTGTGACAGGTAAAAACATGTTTTTGAAAAACAGCGCCATCTGTTGGACGTAAAAGCAACACACACTTTTACCAGACTGAGCCACAGCAACGCGTGGCTGGGTACAGCTAGTATGGAAATAAAGAAATTACGACTTCTGGCTTGTATAAGCTATGTTAGACTTTTAGGCAGGGGAATTGGTAAATAGCTACTAGGCTGTATTCTTTATACTATAGTATCTCAAGACAAAAGATTTCTCAGGAATAAGCTTATTCTAAACAATTATTGAATGTCTTTACCAATGATGGCTTTTAGATGCATGAGTCAGCTTCTGATGTCACTCCATTTCCTGTTTTGACAAGAGGTTTATTTCATCCGTCATCTTTTGACCTGAAAAACATTTGCCTTTTGTTCAACAATGTTCTTTAAACGTACACACACACACCCAGATTTGAAATACAAAATAATAATAAATAATAACAATAAACACAGATAATCTAAAACTTCAGCCCACTGTTTGAAGGTCACAGTTCTGTGCCAACTTCCCTAGAAATAATCCCGATTTGAGATTTAAATTTCAAGTTGGGTCAAGCTTTTAGATACAAGATGCATTTTTAGAGATAGCTTTGAGGAAATGGAAAATGAACTCTGGGCCTCTGTTAATGTTGTGATTTCGAAGAAATATGGAGAATGTGGTTCAGTTGTTACAATTATAACTGCCCAGAGTTGCTCTGGATAATGAGGTGGGTGGCATATAAATGTAATAAATAAAACAACTCAAATCAGCTCTCATATGGACCGTTTATTCTTAGGCAGTTAAATCTATTTAAGCATCAGCTCACAATGATGACATACTGTACATATACTGTACATATATATGTCTTGAGTAGCCATAATTGTTGTAGGGCCCATTTAAAGAGAAATGTATAGACAAGCCTCAGTGTAACAGAGAACTCTTTATTTGATAGGACTTGGAATTTATCATATTTTCTGACTTCTTGGAGTAAATGTGTTGAGAATCACATCTCTCTCTGGATTCCTTGATCTATAGCAGGAATAGGCAACCTTGGCTCTTTTATGACTCGTGGACTTCAACTCCCAGAATTCCTGAGCCAGCATGGCTGAGCTTGGAAACCTCTCCCTTTCCCCTCAGCATGGCTGGCTCAGGAATTCTGGGAGTTGAAGTCCACGAGTCATAAAAGAGCCAAGGTTCCCTACCCCTGATCTATAGTATTGCTGAAAGTTGAACAGTCAACCAAATACAGGTAATCCTCAACTTACGACAACTGAGCCCACAATTTCTGTTGCTAAGCGAGACGGTTAAGTGAGTCTTGCCCCCATTTTACAACCTTCCTTGCCACAGTTGATAAGTGAATCACTGTAGTCAAATTGGTAACCTGGTCGTTAAGTGAATCTTGGCTTCCCTCATTGACTTTGCTTGTCAGGTTGCAAAAGGGGATCACGTGACCCCGGGACACTGCGACCGTCATAAGTATGAACCAGTTGCCAAGCCTCCAAATTTTGATTACGTGACCATGGGGGTAGGCTGCAATGGTCACCCATGTGAAAAAAAAGTCGTAGGTCATTTTTTTCAAGGCGACTGTAACTTTGAACGGGTTGCTAAATGAATTGTTAAGTTGAGGACTAGCTGTACACAAAGGGCAAATTTGATTTTGAAATGGGTGAAAATTAGTTGAGCCTATTTGGTCGTTCTCAACATAATCTTCAACCATTTCTCAATAGCCCACAGGAGGAAAATGTTAAGGTTTAAAATGTTTTAAATTAAAGAGCCGTTTTGCAAATTATAAAATGCCAGAGAGTTCTTTTGTCAAGCTCTGTTTTGTGGCTATGGTGATGCTTATCCCCTTTTCTTCCACCGGTGAAGATATTTTTGGAATTGACACGGACAGTCTTGAATAAATCTGTGATAATATACAAGAATACCACTGACTCTCTTGGTTAAATAAAAAAATACATTTCTAAACTTGATGGTTTAAATCTCGTGTTTCTTTAGGCTGCTGCTATGTAAATAAAACTGGACATTAACTGTTCATCTTATGCACACAGGTGTCCTTGTAAATTTCCAAAATAAGTATATAAGCTAGTAGAATAGCCTGTTTTTTGTTTTTAAAAAACCACAAACCTGGGGAGCATCATTTTCCATTTAAAACATGATATGCTTTTAGAGGTGTGATTTCAATTTCTCATTGACTCTTTAACTTTTTAGCTGTTATTAAACGTTTTAATTAGAGCTACACAACCTGGCACCTATAAATTTTGATGGCCATTTTTGAAGATCTACAGTCCACATTTCATAGCTAAGCTATACAAATCACTTATAAGAGCTTAAGTGTTAATGTTTTGGTCAAATGTATGTGACAAGCTGCACAATTCTTGGTAACGCATCCTGTGAACTAACAGCAATTTAATAAACCAGATTTACTTTCAAGACAGTCTCTTTCCTCAGTGTGTGTGTGTGCGGTTTGTGTGTGGAGTGGGTGCTTGTGTGTGTGTGCATAATAAACATGGGAGGGGAAATCAAGTCATTCGGGAATTTCCAGACTGTGAAGAGTGCTGGAAAAACCATAAATTTTACAAATCCCAAAGCATATTTTAGGTTATCTATCATGCTTAAGTGACAATGTAAACTTGAACTGCCAAATCGGCTTAAATCAAATGTCCTTTTAAGTTTTGTGACAAAATCAATGTTTCCCAATTTTGCACGTGATCTGCCAGATGGGCCTCATGATTAGAATATTTGGCATTCTGTATCCCACCCTCCACTCCAGTGGTAGCAAAAGCCATGCAAGATTTAATGCTACCATTTCACATGAATCAAATCTGTTAAAATGCAACCATGGAATTAAAATGCAACTTGTTATCAAACAAGTCCTAAAAGAGAGATGTTGAAAAATCGTCTTTATTGTTAGGTCAGAACAGAGACAGTTCTTGACTTACAGTTAGTGACCTTCAAAGTTACAACGGCACTGAAAAAAGTGACTTAACCGGTTTTCACACTTAATGACCGAAATTCAGATGTTTGGCAACGGATTCATATTTATGACGGTTGCAGTGTCCTGGGGTCATGTGATTTTTTGCAACCTTCTGACAAAGTCAGTGGGGAAGCCAGACTCACTTAACATTTGTGTTACTAACTTAACAGTTGCAATGATTCACTTAACAACAGTGGCAAGAAAAGTCGTAAAAAGGAGCAAAAACCACTTAACACATGTTTCACTTAGCATCGTAACTTTTGGGCTCAATTGTGGTACGAAGTCAAGGACTTCCTGTATAGCAACATACTGAATTTTAAAATACACATCAAACACTTGGATTTTTTTCTACTAGACCATTGTACTGGTGTTTTTTAGTCATTTTGAAATAAATATCACTGTTGCAACTTTTCTAATTACTGCAGAAATAATTGTTTCACGACACTGAAATTAAATGAACTTTTTGCACTGGGAAGAGACCCAAAGACAGGTTTTTCTTGTGTAACAATCACAGCAAGAAATTTAAGTACATAAATTAGGAAATGTATGTCACTTACCTGACAGCAGAAAAGGAATATAAAGGTTCTTGAGTTTGGAGTGCAAGAGATGCATTTTATTGTATGCTCATTACAATGAGTAACACATTTTAAAATAATAATCCCACGTAACAGTGACAATCTTATTTTACAGCGTGTACATCATTTTTACAGCCACATAAAACACGAGTAGTTTCCTATGGTTTCCCAAAGTTAACTTTCCGAAGGTTGGAAATATATATATATATAAAAAAATTATTCTCAAGGAACTGATTCTCATCTGGTGCAAAAACAAAGTATGAACATTATCTGAAACACAAAACCACAATATAGTAGCATGAATGAATTAAAGTTACAAGTTATCATGTGAACAGCTGTGTGCAAACATGAAGCAACTTAAAACGTAAGGGTTTGTTTTTTTAAAAAAAAATGACACATGTATAACATTTATGAAGTTTTTTTTTTTAAATTATTAAATAGCCCTAGACCAGCTTGTTATATTAAGCGGCAGTTTTTGCAGCATGCTAACACAAAGCATTGTTTAAAGGGATGCGTATTTCAAATGTATACACTGTAAACTGAAAATCCATGTCTGCCCCCTAGTGGCAGTTTACTGTTCGGGTTAAATACTGCATACATAATTTCCATACAGATTGAGAATGCAAGTTTATAGTATGGTATATGTTTTGTATGAATTCTTTAAAAGGTGCAATTTTTCTTTCTCTACGGATTTTTTTTTTTTTAAAAATAAAAGATTAATGGCAAGTCAGAGCCATGGATCCTGACTTGCCAGAAACACTGTTTTTGAAAGATTCTCTAGGATTTTCCAACGGCTGGCGTCTTTCTATACCTTGATACTCTCTCTCTCTTAAGGACAGTTGTGAAGTTACAAGGGAAAAAAAAAAACCAGTGCCCCATAACTGCATCTATCATTTTTTTTCTTCTTTTTTTTTTAAAAATATCGATCAAAAGTTACTTGTCATCGTTAATATGTGCCGTATTAAACATTCAACTTGTAGTTTCAGATAAAAAGGGAAATTATGTACATACATGTCTCGGTCCCCCTAGCACCAAACTTTTGATCTCGGAAAACATAATGCTGTATTTTCAACACGGTATCCTGTAGTAAAAAATAGGTTAGCAGCTCTTGAAAGGAAACTTTGGAAATTGCTCATTCAACACGGGGAGAAAAAACGAGGTTTACGCATGAAATGTCGTGTTTGCTTTAAAATGGAAAAAAAGAAAAAAAAAAAGACAGATCTTAAAACTCGATCCATTTCTTGAATACTATGTCCCGGCACAATTTTCTTTAAAAAAATAACAAAAAAAAAATATGTAAGGACTACGCGACTTGACTTCTACCTAGCTTCACTGTTCGAAAACTGCATGTGGTGTATTCGTTCTAGCCAAAAACACTTTGAAAGAACTTCTGTCCTGTTCTGGTTTTTTCCGTAAGGTGACCAGTGGCGTTATTGACATAAAGAGCTACGGGAATGGACTTAATATTTCTTTAGCTTAATAACGTGTAACGCTTTATTATAACAGAAGACATTCAAAGTCTCTTTCTGCAGCTTCTCAAACATTCACCTCTCCGCGTTTATAGTGCTCGTTAGGTTCCTATAAGCAACAATCGTAGGGCTACGAGATACCCAGTCAATCATAAAACTTCTCTTTAAGACTCTTTAATGTAGGGGTCTTCAAACCTGGCCCTTTTAGGACTTGGGGACTTCCAACTCCCAGAATTCCTTAGCCAGCCACGCTGGCTGAGGAATTCTGGGAGCTGAAGTCCCCAAGTCCTAAAAGGGCCAGGTTTGAAGACCCCTGCTTTAATACAAAGAATGCAAAGTTATGATTTAAGATCAAGCTTTGAAACCAGGAGAAACAGTTCATGAGAGTTTCCTTCCCCTAACACAGGGGGGTCTTCCGCAGCGCCCAGACCTACATGAGGGCCTCTTTGTGATGCCTCATGATATGTTGGTTCTTCTCCGAAGGCCTCCGGAAGCCCTTTTTACAATACTCGCACCTGTGAGGGTAGTCTTTCGTGTGGATGGATATGACGTGCCTCTTGAAGCCCGAGGCGTCTGTCGTGCTGTATTCGCAATACTGACACTGGTAGACTTTCCTCCCGCTGTGGGTCTTCATGTGCTTCTTCAGTTCCAGCTGCTGCCGGAATCCCCTCTTGCACCGTTTGCACTTAAAAGGCAGGTCCTTGGTGTGAACGGAGAGGATGTGCCCGCTGAGTACGAAAGGGTCGGAAGTCTTAAAGTCGCAGTGCCGACACTGGTGGATCTTCTTCCCTTTGTGGGTCTCGCTGTGCTTTTTGAGCTCCGAGGGGCGGTGGAAACCTTTCTCGCAGACCTCGCACTTGTGAGGGAAGTCTTTCGTGTGGACGGAGATGATGTGCCGCTTGAGGTCACTGGAGTTGGTGCTCTTGTGGTCGCAGTGCGGGCACTGGTGAGTCTTGTGGCCCTGAAAGAGTTCGGTGTGCTGCTGCAGCTCCTTCTCGTCGGGGAAGGCCTGCGGGCAGTGTTCGCATTTGAAGGGCAGGTCAGTCCCGTGCTTGGTTTTGATGTGCGTCTTCAGGTTGGACTGATCCGCGCAGCGGAAGACGCAATGCTGGCACTGGTAAGGCTTCTCCCCCGTGTGGGTCCTCATGTGTTTTTTCAGCTCCGAAGGGTGGCGGAAGCCTTTCCCGCACTCGACACAAACGTGGGGGAAGTTCTTGCTGTGAACGGCGAGCAGGTGCCTGTTCAGCAGGCCTTGCTCCGCGCTTTCGTAGTCACAGTATTTGCACTTGTGCACTTTCGGTTCTTTATCCCGTAAGATGAGCTTGTTGGAACTCAACGGGCTGGCTTCTCGGTAGCGCCTGGTGTACTCGGTGAATTCGTGCGCCTTGTCACCTTTGTTGATCAGCTTATGGCTTTCCAGGTGATTGTGGAAGCTGACTTTTTTGTTCGTCGTGAAGTCACAGTCAGTGCACTGGTACTTCTTCTTAATCATGTGATCTGGGTGGTTCTTCATATGCCTTTTCAAGAATCCCCTGGACTTAAATTTCTTCCCACATATGTGACACGGGTAGACGGTTAAGGGCTGTCCGTCAGGACCTATTATAACAGCTGGGTCAGATAAACAGAAAGAATTATGGCATGAATTACGCAACAGTTATTCTGAAGTTATACAGAATGCAATATCAACATGAAAGAAAGCAAATCTTTCAACAGCTAACAATGCAAACCAACACACTACTCTAAACTACTCAGAGGTAAATATGCTGTAGAGTTAAATGAGACTTTACTTCCAGGAAAAATATGTATTAAGACTGCAAAAAGTGATGATCAAAATCCTTATTAAAACTGACAATACTCTCAATTAAGAGTAAAGTAACTTTTTAAATTATAGTTCTATATAGCTATACATATTGCAAATGTACCTAGGAACTCATTCCGCTAAACAATTCAGCATATTCCCAGTTCTAAACCTCTGTCTAAGGCAATCCATAGTTTATATTACAGAACAAACTTTTAAAAAGCAAAATTTAAAGAATCAAGATCTATTAATATTTCAAATCAGTAATTAATTTTCAAGTTTTCCCAAAATGTATTAATTTATCTATCTTCTTTAATCAAGTTCATTTTCTACAACCAAATGGTTATTTTACACTCTTTTCCAATTCTACAATGGACACATTGTATTTACACACACACACATCTGACATACAAAATTGTTAACTCAATTGGGGATCTCCACGAAGGAGACTTTGCATGTATAAAACAGGAAAAGACAAATGAATTGCCTCTTTGTCACTTCCAAAACTTTCTCCTATTTTAACTTATCAGGCTGATAGCAGCTATTACAGCTTGCCAAGTGAAAAAGTATTATATGGAAATCATCTCTGACTTAAATTCAAAGACCATTTTGAAACAACATTTTTGTCTGGCCAATAAAATTGATAAAGATTGTACCCTTTCAAGTTTTTAAGAACGTCTCATCAAGCAAGATGGTTAAAAGTCTAGGGGAAAACATGAAAGAGAAAAACATGGCTTGTAATCAAAGCACACGTGTTAATTAATAGGTTATATCCTCAAAGAGATGGACAGGAGAGTCTCACAATGTGAAAACTTGCTTTTACCCAAAGCAATTGGTGGTAGGTTACACCAAGTAGTTTCAAAACTTGTTGGGAAGAAGATAATAGGAAGCGATTAAGAGACTGTACAAAAAATACTCATTTTTTGCAAAAAACAAAAACAAAAAACCCCAGACAGAAGTTAGCTATGTTAAAAGCTACATTTAATTGGATAATAACTTTATAGAAAGTTTGTTTCACCTGTTTGCCATTGGCGTGCTTCGCCTCTTCTCCTTTTCTTGGTCTTCTGCTTAAGCAATCTGTTCGTATTGATGCTATCGCAGATTTGGAGATACTGAGTTGTGTTACCATTCTTGTTTTCTAATCTTGCATCTAAGTTTGTTCCTGCAATGAAAGATAACATCAGTATATTGCAAACGAGAGCTTTAGAATACCTGATTTACAAAACTAAAGCTGAAAGCATTTATAGAGCCTCTGATGTGTGAAAGGGTTCTAGTTTATGATGCTAGAACCCCAGAATCACTTCAAACTTCTCTTTAGTGCATCACATAGAAAGCAATCGTTTATTACTGTTTATATTTGCATTGTGCTTCAGAGTTTTCTCCGATGAAGGAAAATAAGTAGTTTACTCCTTATTCTCATATTTTATTACCCGATATAGTGGCACCCATGGTTGCAACTCGTTGGTTGCTATATTCAAGTAACATCTCTATGTATTAATATTCTTTTTCCCCTTTTCGAATTTAATTATGAATTATTCTAAAAAACACAGACTGCTCTATGCTATATTGCAGAGGGAGCAATATTTAGATTAAGCATGGAACAATTTTTTCCATCTTCTCACCTGGTGCTTGACAGTCTTCATATTTCCTAGGAAGTCTTCTATCATCCCCTAGAGAAATAAGCAGTTTAGTGATTTAATTCACAAACAGAAGATACGTGCAACATCTATCGTTTTGGGAACAGAGCATTAGAAAGAACTTCATTATATTATGTTTCTCTTCTGGAGCATGTTCCCCCAGCTAATGTTTGGGGAGGGGGAACTAGAAGTCATTCCCGGTGCTCTGGATGGAGGCCAACCCCCAAATTGGCCCTGCTTTAATGAGAACACCATCAGCCCCTCCAGTTCAGAAGACTGTCCTTGCAATGGTTGACTGGATCTCTTTGATCCAGAAGAAAAATAACAGGTTTTGCACAAACAATTAGTTTGTGCACTGCTACTGTAAAATAGTTGAAGAAAAGAGAAAAGGATGAGTACTTAATTGCCAAAACTTTCTTTGTAAGGATTCCAAAGAGTGCCAAGCAAAATCAAAAGATATATAATCATATATCTTATAGATAATAACAAGGTTTGCTGTCTGTTGCTTCCAAGAAAAAAATTACAAATATGCTTTGGTGTCCAAGAGCCCATTTTTATGCTATGAATATAATTATATCGGGCAGACGAAACAGCAACAATCGGCCTTCAGATATTCTATTTATACTATCATGAAAAATACTTGTTATGTAAATAGAAGTCAGTGCATGAACTAAACAAACCTGCCTAGCAACCACCAGTCTCTCTTTCGTAAAGAGTGTACACACAGGTACACACACACAAACACACAACCAGTATCGTGGACTCTGACAGGGCTCCCAGGATATCTGACAATACTGTTTGATTGTTTAATAGGCAATATTCTGCATTCCAAACCTCTTTACTTTACTTACTAATCAAGGAGAGAAGCAAGGAGAAACTTCCTGACAGTTAGAACAATTAACCAGTGGAACCACCTGCCTCCAGAAGCGGTGAATGCTCCAACACTGGAGGTTTTTAAGAAGAGACTGGACAGCCATTTGTCCGAAATGGTATAGGGTTTCCTGCCTGAGCAGGGGGTTGGATTAGATGACCTCCAAGGTCCCTCCCAACTTTACTACTACTACTACTACTACTACTACTACTATTATTATTATTATTATTTATATAACCCTGTAATTGTAGCAGATAAGGTCAATTGCTTTTATTATCTGACCTGAAAAGAGAAAAAAAAAGGAAATCCCAGAATTCAAGAGAAATAGGGGAATTAATCGCTTTCTGAAGTTATGTTTAGAAAATGTAAATATGCATAACAAAATGTTATAGTTTGAACAAAATCAGAGGGCCTTATTTTTTAACACCAAGTAGCAAACCGGAAGATGTCATTTCAGAAATCTTCTCGGTCACCAAAGATCGAGTTTGACTTGAAGGAGACTTGACTTCAGGTAGAAAGAGATGGGGGGGGGAGGAACCTCTCCAGGACACGAGCAAGTCTATAGAAGTAGTAACTGCAGTGAGGAGAAGGGACTGAGTTAGAGAAAAAGTAGCTTCTTACCATAAGCAGCAGCCCAGGCAACTGGAACAAAAGTTTTATTCACACCAGAGTCTTCGAGTTGTGCATCGGGAAGTGAGGAGGCTTCCTCTTCGCCAACAATGACCTCCATGTAAACTTCATCTGCTATTTCAGCACAGCCTAGAATTAATGTGAAAGGAAGCTAAATTAATTATGCTATTTATCTAACTAATATATCCTTGCTCAATTAACAGGCACTAAACCCGCTATCTGGATTTGTATGGAATAAATCATAATACAAAATTGTTCTGAATCAACTTCTTCCCTATTATTAAGGCTTCTGCTGTACGTATATTAACTTTAAGCGGGGAAAACCCCCCACCAAAAATACTTTTAATTATCTGCTTAAAATTACACTGTGCTTTTATATTGCAGAGAAGTTAAGCACAATTCCTAAGTAGAAAAGCACCTTAATAAAGCGATTTTTAATTCACTCACAATCATATAATTAGTTAAATTATGCATGTCAAAAATATTATTTTTATAGCACTTAACATATTCAAAGCAGTTCATTATCTAATCTACATTTTCAATACTGTAATGTAAGCCAATAATTCGGCTATTGGCTAGCTTATCTATCTAGTAAGTACGTGGTTAAAGTAAAATCTGTAATGGAAACAATCATAAGGTTTAGATATTTAATTTTAAAAATGGGTGGTAATTTTTAAAGAAAATGAAAGTTACAAAGACAACTCTTTTAGATATCGTGGGAATTGTGTTATGTTGTTATCTTGCTTCTCACTGGCCTCAACATATTTTAAATACTGAACAGGTAAGTAAAATATTATTATTAATAATAATATTTATATTATTATTATATGCAAACTCTTGTCAGTAATTATTGATATTTAGACATTAACATAGCTTTATGTAAATTAGAAAGGCAAAATAAAAACAGTGAATACAGACAACTGGGGAAGCATTCATAAAAGTATTATCACTGGTACATGTGGAACTACATACTTATCTTTAGACATTTCGCAAAATGTATCTGGCATTGTCACAGTTTCGTGTAAATATCAAGAAATATATTATGTTTTGCCATTCACACACGCAAAGCAGATCAAAGTCAGCAACGAGGCAACATAATATTAGACCACAATTTTGCCAAAATGGCTTTTGCAATTGCTTGGATTAAAGCTTGTGTAAAAGTGGACGTAACTCTTTCTACCAGGCAAAAATTGTGACCTGAGTAATTACAGAGGTGGGAAAGATGAGTAAACTTGCATACTTGTTAATCTTCTGTAACTTTGAACAATCATTTAGTAACAGATCTTCTAGAAATTACAAACTTAGTTACTTAATGATACAAAAAAAAAGTTGTCCTTACTAATATCTTCATCCTCTTGGGAAGAATCCTTAACAGCCATATAAACCATCTTCTCTCGCTGAACTCTGCCAATACTGCCTTGCTCTAGAACTCCAGCTACAGAGTGTCCATTATGAAAGTCACTCTCTGTTACAATCTCCGTTCCCCCTTGAATAGAAAAAATAATATTCACATGGTAGAATTTTAACAGGAAGAGTAAAAGTGTGCTATTTTTCTCCTGTGTTTGGGGTATAACAGAAGTCAACCCAGTTTTAGGGACAACAGATAATACAACAGGATGGTCTTAATCTGTAAGCAGTACGACAAATTTAAACCCATGGCAGGAAGAAAAAATAAAGATAGCCGTTCAAGGTTTGGGAAGACTGTAATACTCTAGAACAGGGGTCTTCCAATTTGGCCCTTTTATGACTTGTGGACTTCAACTCCCAGCCTGCCTGGCTGAGGAATTCTGGGAGTTGAAGTCCACAAGCCATAAAAGGGCCAAGTTTGAAGACCCCTGATTTAGTGTCTGCCTACTTTAAACTGGTTTGATGGAAACTTTAATTAAACTGGAATCATTACAAAGAAAGATTTAGTTTATGAAAATTGGCAGACAGATTTTATTTAATATTTATGGACTGATTCATAAACCTAAGTTTAAGATACATACCTATTTCAACATCATCCTCAGCTTCGGCTTTAAATATGTAAACTTTAATAACTTCAGAACCAAATCCATCGTCTTTAGATACGTCACCGTGTGCAACCTCAGTGCTGATTTTTAAGGGGGTGCTTCCAATATGGTCTAATTTTTCCCCAACATCATCCACTAAAAAATTAAAAAACAAATGAGAACTGCAGTTAAGTTTGAAGTAGAATGTGAAGCAAAACAATACATTCTGAGAATCTTAGCTGACTTATGCAAATACCATCTTGGCTGCATTAGATGCTGGCATGCACACCAATCTCTCTGTACTTGTTTAATTTCTGAAGCTTGTGTATGATATAAATATATCCACTGTAATTTGGTAATATATTATTTTAGTAAATCAAAATAATTAATTTCACCATCGGAAAGAATCAGCAAGTGTGCTGTAGAAATATATCATTAATATCATAATGTCTGATTAAGCAATTAAATAAGGCAAGGGTATTTTGCATTTAATTGGCCTTTTTTTACATTTTAGAACACATACAAGGTGAGGAATACCCATATTATCATTTTTGTGTTTTTTTTTAAAAAACGGAAATTCATCTTGGTTTGATCTTTGAAAGAAAGACCTTCAAAATTTCCAATTATTCAGACAGACATAAGAAGGTACTCTACAAGATGAAATTATGACTGATGTAGAACAGTGAAACCTTGAGTGAATTAATGACAGGTATATTTTCATGGGGGTGGGGAGGGCGAGGGGGGGTGTCAGAAAGCAATTATTTACCCAATCTCTTCAACATTTCTTGCTTGCATGAAAATCCTTCCCTTAATCAGTTAAGTTTATACCACACTAATTTTAATTTATGGACAGAGATTTTTGGAGTTCTTTCTCAATCAAAACTTGTTAATCAATTCCCAATATGGTCTCTTGTTTCAAAATGATCCAGAAATAAAACTGAAGGTACCGAAGTAAACTGTTGGTGGGGGGAAGAATAGGTTGATATTGGGGAAAGGAAGCATGCACTGGGCCTGCTCTTCACTATTGGACTACTTTAGACTGTTCCATGATCACAGTCAACAGCAGAGTTTCTTTTTAGCACTATTAACCGTACCACAAGACACCCTCCCCCTTGAGTTATCTTAAGCAAATTTAGTATAATTTACTTTGCTGGAAGCTGGAAAGGAATTGTTTAAGGTTGTGCTTCCAGGCGATAGTCAGCTAGATGCTCAGCTGCTTCTCTGATGTTAGTTCTTCCATGGAAGCAAGCAAATATCAAATATAATTTCTTGCTTTTATACAAATTGTACACGAATGTTAACAGTGCATCTTTGCTTTATGTGTGCCCATATTGCCTGTGCTAGATGTCATTTAAGGATACCTGCTAAAACTGCTGCAGTTTTGGGTGTCACTGATGAACTTGTATTTCAGAAGGCTGTGAACTGGTCAGAACAATGCTGGAGCTACTGAAAACAGAACTAAATAGAAATAAAAAAGCTAATCACTTAACTTTTTAAAAAGATTTTTTTATCAGTATCGCTACTGTTAACCATTACAAAACTAAGCTTATATGACTGAACTCAGTGTTGCTGGTGTTTATTAATGAATTTTAGGGGGGAAAAGCAAATAAAATTCAAGTCATTTGGCCCATGCAACCTACATATCTGAATTTATAAAAAGTTATCTCACAGAGGCCAACAAATCTTCCTTCCTTCCTATCGGTTTGCAGATAGACAACATTATTGTAGGGAGATGCTGGACTGGTAGATTTATATACAGATAACAAACCTGTTATTTTAATAGGAGAGCTAATTGACAAGTAGAAGCAGTGATCGCTTTTGGGATGTGTCGGTATATGCAGACAGATGCAAGGGTTTATATTGCTAGCACAGAGAAGCAGATTTTTCAAATACTTCTCTATCTCTGAAAGCATCTCTAATTCACATTCATACTCAGAAGAGTGGGAGGTAGACATCACAAAGTTTCAAGCAGTTCTTTGTGAACTGCCCATTTAAGAATATTTAAGAATGGATTGCTACAAAGCACTCTTTTTTATGGAGTAACTTCTTGCCTTTGAAATGTTACATTTTTATTTATTTTCCTTTAAAAATTAGAGTGCAGAGAAACACTTAGAAATTTGCAACAATTCTATGCAACATTAAATAGAAATGTGCAAATGCTGCTGGCCTAATAAAACGGATTCCAGACCAAACAGTGAAGCATTTACTAGATTCATGAAGATGTAGTAAAAAAATAAATAAATACGAAAGAGAAATAATATATATAAACCTATGAAGGTAATGGAAGTGATTTGTCTATTGTATTGTGGTAGTTTCCTTCTTCCAAGGTTTCAAGCTGGTTTTTTAATATTTGAATAATAATTAATGAATTGTACAAATTCATTCATAATCACTGTTTAATTCCATTCATAAAAATAACAGAGAACAAGGTTCTTTTTAAGATTTGTAAGATATGCCAATGACTGTAAAAACACTAAAATAAAGTCCTCAGAGTCTTTTATTTACCATATTAATTAAACTGAAAAGAATCGGAAAAATTAACATTGCAACTCTATCTGAATTCTCACTTGCCATTATTTTGACAAGTTAAGATCCATACACTAATTATAAACCCTAGTTTCAAATTCTGGCTTATTAGAATGAATAATCCTTAGGTTAATAAAGACCCTAACAATTTCCAACCAAAATAAAAACTGCAGCTATAACATACATTAGTATAAACTGCAGTACTTAATACATGAAGAAAATCTTACCTCCTAAAATACATTTTTCCAAAACCTATTGGTTAAATATCATTAATGCCATGCCCAAATGGCAGCAGCAGAAATATTGCAATGGATAATATTAACACTTCAAATTTTCAGGTGCGTCTTGCACTGAACAATACTTGCTAAATAAAAAATTTTAACATTGAAAGGTCTCAATACAACAGGAACATAACGCTGGAATGTTGGAAAAATATATTGGAATATTTGGTATAGTATTGGGGGGAAAAGCTGCAAATAAAAATGATTACAAATCATTAGAAACATATTGCATGTGTCAATAATGTTTTAGCATATGAATACTGTAATGCACTCTATCTTTAAGCTCTAGCTTGATATCTATTAAATGTTAACTACATATTTTATTTTTATTTCTTATTAACATTTATGCACCATTTATTCAAGGGACTCCAGAATTTAAATGCATGCAAGCTAGACTGCTACACCCACAACTCATACATCAATGCATTTCCCCCACCTTGATTTAACAAAACTTTCTGTTAAAGAAAAAACAAAAGGCAATTTATAGACTTCAACATAATAATTGTGAACCTATAGGACAAGTTAAAAAAAATTATTTAACTCCACATTCATTCTTACCAAAGATTTCAAATTATAATTCCAGAATATTATTTTCTGATCACACATAAACCTGAACAAAAAGGGAAAAAATACCCAATTATTTCCTTAGATTATTAATGTTCTATTATTACGGTTACCAAGGCAATCGTAAGGAATAATTTTCTGCAGAGATAGGAGGGGACATCCATTGACAAAGAAAAATTATAAGGAAGTCTTAACCACCTCTAACTTACCTTTCTTAGCTGTTTCCAGGTATGAGATGTTCAGATTCACTGTGGATTGCCAGCTCCCAATTCATGTGATGTCTCAGCATGCACAATGCTGGTGCTATCACACCCACCATAAAACCATGAGATACATGCCAAAATTTACAGCTGTGCAATTTTATTTTATTTTTTAAAAATAAATCTGACTTTCCTAACTGTTTTCTCAGAAGGGAACAGAATAGGATTTTACTTATAGTTGTAGCAGACTGTGCAATGCTGTATTGCAGGGGTGAATAACTTTTGGCCAACGTGTCAAATGTAGTCCAACCGTTCATTTTATGGCCCATTTCGGAGCTGAGTGTATGTGGCCACAAGCCGCATTGTGACTCTGTGCCCTGGACTGGTAGCAAAATACTCCACCACCTTGCCCGACTAACGTGATTGAAAGCAGTGGGATCCAATTGGGTGCATGCAAGAGGGGAAATGGCTCATTGCCAAGGAAAAGTTGCCCACCCCTGCTATACTGTACTGTAACAGATTCTTAAAAGGAGGGGGCAGTGGAATATTACCTTATCCCTAAAGGACAGCTCCAGGGTGGCTCTGGGTATAGGATCACCAGCATGTGCATGCAGTATCATCCTATGGCTCAAAAGCTAGCAATCCATTGTGGGTGTCTGAACATCACAAACCTGAAAAACAAAAAAACAAAGGAGGGCGTTTTATGTTTTGTGTGACTTTCCCACCCCCACCCCAACCACTAAATCTCTATTTTTCATGAATTCTTTCCGAGTCCAATTCTAGCAAAGCATTATAAGTTCTTTTTATGTGGGCTCGAGATTGATCCTTAATCTGTTTGATCAAATTCACATCCACCAAGGTGATACCGACCTTTTGATCTAAATTCCACCTCATTAATAATTGATTATAATAAAACCAAGAATCTACAATATTTTCTTGTTTCAGATCTGCTAAAGATTTAATTTGCCATCCCTTTCCTACCGGTCTAAGTAGTTCCCTGTAAGTAATATTATCCAAATTGACTCCTCTAGATACTCCCTCTATCACCTGTCCTGAAATCGCCCATATAGGAATTTTATAATTTAATCTATAATAATATTTCTTCCATACTCGTAATAAAGCACTTCTTAAAATATGAGCTTTGAAAGCTTGATCTACTTTTTTGTTATAAATTAAATAAGCATACCAACCATATAATAAATCCCATCCCTCAAGTGAAAGTACATTTCTATTTGTTAAGTTAATCCAGTCACTTATCAATGTTAAAGCCACCGCATCATAATCATGAATTCTTGCCATGGGTGCTAGCTCATAAAACTGTGAAATGGCAGCGCTGGGAAGGATGAGTTTTGAAAAATGTAGTCTTTTAAACACGGACCTTCCTTTTCAAATAGGTTGGTTTTATTAGGAAAACTATTTTTGTTTCCTTCAAAACCAACCCGATTGGGTCAGGATGCGATTGTACAGAACTTTCACTGTTTCATGGGTGTGAAGAATGTTACGTCCTTACCACAAACTCTTTTGACTGACGTTACAAAGACATCTTCATCAGTGTGACAAATTAACTATTTGCAACACTTCACTTTGGAGGAGAAAAGTAATTTCTATGAAAAAATGCAAAATGGCTATTTCTATAAAATACTAAACAATTAAATATGTATTGTTGATAAGACTGCACTTAAGCAGAAATATTTTGTGGAATGTTCCTCGAATTTGTCACAATTTTCATTCTTTAATACAGAAATACTTCCGTTTGTAGATCATGTTTAACCTTAAAATGGTTAAGCAATAATATAGAAATAAATCCCATGTTGAGTTTAACCATGGTAAAGAGATTTGATGGACCTTTTCTCATCTTTCTTTCCTTTTGGCCTCCATAACCCTCTTCTTCCCTTTAACATATTTAGCTATTTTAATGTCAACCACAGTTACTTTTATTGCCAACTTTCAACCATACTTTTTGTTGTTGTAATACTACAAGCTTAACCTACTTGTAAACCAGAGTTAAGGATTGAAAAAGAGAAATTCAAGTCGAAGCTGATACAAACTCTCGGTCGGACAAGCTACACCCATTTTTCTCAGCTGAGGCAATATCTGCAAGCTTACAACTTTTAAAGCCTAAATGTTTCCAATTTCCTTCACCAGGTAGTTTCTGTTAACTTATTTACAATGTCGTCCTTAATTATGAAACAGCCAGACCCAGTACTTCTCCACAATTATATCTCTCACTGTTAAGTCACTTCTAGTCTGAGTAGATAATGTTATATATACCTTTACTTCACTTACAAGATATCATTAAATAGTCTTCAGATGTGCTCTTGCTATCATCATCATCATCCTCGGTCTTGATGGTAACGGTGGATCCAGGAACAGTGCCGGCTGCTTGAATCACAGTTTCGGTATCTGAATTTGTCACAAGAACTTCTTCGGATACCATTGTGGGGGAGTCAGGTCCAGATACCGAATCTTGTACCACGTGTTCCAAGTGTCCATCAGGACCAGTAACAAGATCAGCCACAAAAACTTGATCAGGCACTCTAACAGTTTCGGTGATTAAATCGGAAGTTAAAACGTGATCACTGGTATCTAATGCTTCTTCAATAGCAACGTCTGCTTCCAATACAGATTCAGGAACAATCACTCCTTCGGTCACAACGTCCGTTTCAGTTATGATATCAGGTCCTTGGACAACTTCAGCTGCCAAGCCATGATCAAGGGTGATCCCATCATCTGTGACAACATCTGAAACCAGCACAGCTTCAGGGACTGACACCACAATGTGATCTCCATCAATATGAGCGGTACCAGCCATTCCAGCCACTATGAAACAACAACGAATGAGGAAGCATATTAACACTTGTTTTCAGGTTGAAAAATAATATATTCCTAAGGAGGTAATGAAATACCATACAGGTAATCCTCAACTTACAATAATGACTGTTTGAAGCTAAAACAGCACTGAAAAAAGGGATTTATGATGGTTTGCAGCATCACCATAGTCAAATGATTTACATTTGGGTGCTTGACAAGTGATTCATATTTATGACACTTGCAGTATCCCGGAGTCAGATCCCGGAGTCAAGTGAAGCCAGACTACAACCTTGTTGTTAATTTAACAACTGCAGTCATTAACAAATGTGGCAAGAAAAGTTGTAAAATGGGGCAAAACTCATTTAACATAAATTTTGGGCTCAATTGTGGTCGTAAGTTGAGGACTACCTGTACACCTATCTGAAATGGTCCCCAGCCGTCCAGATATTTATCATCAACGTCATAACAGAATTCTGCAGCTGGGATGGAAATATTACATAACTATTGGGACTCAATGAGTCTACTAGGAAATACCAGGTCTGCAAGATAGACTGAGATAGCCGTCTTCTAGTGCCAAGTGTATTCCAATTCACCTGATTTCAGAAATTAAATACAGTGGTATTATTTAAGTATTTGATCACCTTATTATCAAATTCAGAGGAAGGATTTCTTTAGTGGGCACTATACATTCTCCACACTCAAATGTGGTTTTCTTTGTAACTGACTGAAGCATGCAGCTAACCAGAGTGAGGCAATGGAGAGACAACAAGAAGTCAGTCCCATGAGCCCGTCCAAAAATAAACCAAATTCACATCCCCATACCAATTTTGGCACCCATGCTGCAGATTATTCATTTACAAATACAATGCATCTGATAAGCAAATACTTTAGCTAGTAATAATTTTGCGTGAGTATAGTATGGTTTTTACCAAAATCCTGCATAATCATAGTGTGAGGCATTTTGGATTCCTGTGTCTGCAAACCAAGACTTCCACCACCTGGATCCATAATCATTGAGGCTCATTCACAAACTGAAAAGGGAATAATTATATAGAAATTACTATTTGTACTACCACCACATGAAATGTCTTATTAAATTGTCTTGTTCTGTGCAAATGTAATGTAAACACATTGAAGGAATGTTATGTTCTCCATAGTTACCAAAAAGTCTAAATCAGAAGTGAAAATTAGCAGAACAATTAAAGGATATCACAGTAGATCCAGCTGCTATTTAAATTAAATTATTTGAAATTAGGCAATTTATTCAAGATATGTACTAATATGTCGTGAAATGATTTATAATTAAATCCTAAAAATAAAGGGGCTTACTTCCAGTTAAGCGAACATAAGATTGAAGCCTAGAGCAATTGACATTTCTGTACATGTTAAAAGATTCTTAGATAATAACTGTTATCCAGATTGAAAATTTAACCCCAAATTCTGGTTTTTTTTTCCAGAACAGCCAACGATCTCTTTTTGATTACTGAGGCACACTGGCATATGTAGGGATTTACTTCCTGGGTCTCATGACTATTTGTCAGTGCCAAACTTGCTCTATATGTCTAGGTAAATAGAGTGGTACCAGATAACCCATGATTCATTGGGTCATCATTTCAGAGAAACTGCCTTACCCAAAGGAGGTTTACTGGTGGGTAAAAAAGCTGTGGGAGCAGGAGCTATTTCCAACTTCCTACTGGCTTCCCCATTGACTTCCGTTCTAGGAAGCTAACGGGAAGTGTTGGAAGTGATGACCACATGACCATAGCTAATCACAACAGCATAGTGGCATGGTAGCCCTGAAGTGGCCACAACTTTGCCAAGTTTAATCCCACAGGAGTCATAGTTCCTGAATTTGAACAGATTCTGTAAATTAGCCCATTTGAGGCAGGTTGACTCAAAAAATTGTTGCCCTATGACAGGGGTAGGCAACCTTGGCTCTTTTATGACTCATGGACTTCAACTCCCAGAATTCCTGAGCCAGCGTGGCTCAGCTTGGAAACCTCTCCCTTTCCCCTCAGCATGGCTGGCTCAAGAAGTCTGGGAATTGAAGTCCACGAGTCATAAAAGAGCCAAGGTTGCCTACCCCTGACCTATGATGTACCATTTCGCCCAATTTACGATGACAAAATATCAAACAAACACGGGTTTTCACAGTTTACAGATATATAAAGACCAGTCGTTATATACTTAAAATCCTTAAGATAAGATTGCAATATTCTCATTTATAGCTGTGATCATCAAAAACCTGGTAATGTATATTAGCATGCTTGAATAAAGCCAATTTCTAAGAAACAGTCTGGGAGAAAAAGTGCAGCACACATCTCACTATAATCAATTCAAGCTTTTCTTCAATAATTTCTATTCACCTTTATTATTTTTACAAATAACTCAAGGCAGTGACCATATCCAACACACCTTCCTCTTCCTATTTTCCCACAACAACAACTCTGTGAGGTGGTTTGGGCTGCGAGAGTTTCTGGCCCAAGGTCACCCAGCCAGCTTTCACAGCTAAGGAAGGACTAGAATGCACGGTCTCCCAGTTTCTGGTGCCTTAAACATTATATCAGGGGTCCCCAACCTTGGCAACTTTTAACTCTCAGAATTCCTCAGCCAGCAAGTTGAAGTACCCAAATCATAAAAGGCCCAAGTTTGAAGACGGCTGCATTAGACCAAATCTTATCCGAGATGTAAAACTTTGGTATACTGTATATACATGGTTTTACATAAACAGCTTTAAACTGTAACATATGATACATCTGTTTATATTCTATCTTGCAGTACATACTAATTTCTTCCCAAATCTTCCAATGCATGTTTATGGTTAACTGAAAAACTGTGGACTGTTAAGTTACTCTAGGATAGCACAGCACAGCACTGCACCAAAAGGAGTGAGATTTTGGAGGACTGGATTGTTTATCAGTTCAAAGCAAGAATTCTTGAAATGTTTTCTTTGGAACAAAAATGCACGGGGACTTATTTTAGTCTAGATCTTGACTGAACATGCATAAAAATTCAATTAGGAATATACATTTGCAAATAATATTCAGAGTCAAAATAGGCAACATTTCTCCGTACAACAAGGTATTAAAATTTTATAATGGACATAATTTACTGAAAGGCGGGACAAGTATCTATAAAGTATATGGACTGCATAACTGGGTGAGACAGCATCCCCACAGTTAGAACTCTGAATTTTCAAAAGGACTATTGCATCTGTGACTATTTTCTGACTCTTCTCACTGTAGATAATTTTTAAAAATGGGGGTAACTAGGTAAGGCTGCCACTAAATCTGGTCTGGTCATCATGGAATTGCCATAGAGGTCCTCTTTGCCCACTCCTGATAAACAGCACTGCACCCTAAACCATTGCTCCAAATTCTTTAATGAAGAAAAAGTGTAAATACTCCAAAACACATCCTGAAAAATAAGTGGAACAATTTAGCCCAAGATACCCCTACCTGTCAATTAGGATTTATTCCCCTGGCTTGGAGGATCCCAAAGGTGCTTTTTCCAAAAGGCAAGCAGAGTTTCTTGATTTCTTTTTTTTTCCCTTTGAAAAAATGTTCCGCTTCTCATCCAAGAAGCTTCTTCAGTTCTAACTGAAGAACTGGAGTTAAAACCAAAGAAGCTTCTTGGATGAGAAGCAAAAGTTTTCAAGGGAGAAAGAGAAAAATCCCCCCCAAGAAAGCCCAGTTGCTTTTGGAAAAAGCACCTTTGGGACAACCATGACCTGGATGATGGAGAATCACCCACAGTCGTTCCCCCGGAGGGAAATCGGAGCCAAGGAACCAGCCTTCCTTGCAACTACCATCCTGACTCAATGCTTCATCACTTCAAGCAGCCGCCTTCTTAGAGAAAAAAAGGACTAGGTGGGGACACGATAGCAGTATTTGAGAGGTTGAGGGTCGAGTTATTTACTAAAGCAACTGAAGGAAGCAACAAGAAGCAACGGATGGAAACTAATCAAGGAGAGAAGCAACCTCGAACTAAAGAGAAACTTTCCTGACAGTTAGAACAATCAACCAGTGGAACGGCTTGGCTCCAGAAGTTGTGGATGCTCCACCACTGGACGTTTCTAAGAAGAGACTGGACAGCCACTTGTCTCAAATTGTATAGTTTCCCGCTTGAGCAGGGAGTGGTCTCCAATCTTTTGGGCACCAGGGACCGGTTCCATGGAGAGAACCGGAGTGTGTGTGGTTTTGTGTGTTGCCTGCATCTTACGGTTGGGGCTTTGTTTGTGCGGACCGGTTGCTGGCATGCCGCGGTCCAGTACTGGCCCACAGAGGTTGGGGACCCCTGGGCTAGAAGACCTCTAAGGTCCCTTCCACTCTATTTGATTGACTGCTTGAAGACAGACCAGACGAGGGATGCAGGCGAGGCCCGGAGAAGCCTTAAACCGGTGTTTCTCAACCTTGACAATTTTAAGGCATGTGGACTTCAACTCCCAGAATTCCACAGCCAGCAATGTTGGCTGTGGAATTCTGGGAGTTGAAGTCCACATGCCTTAAAATGGTCAAGGTTGAGAAATACTGCCTTAAGCCATGCACGGGTTTCACCGTTATGTCCCCATCTAGGAAGCGACTGAAACAGCCAGCCAACTGCGGGAGGGAAGGGGGGGGGGTAAGAAGCGCCCTCTCCCCGGGGAAAAGGGTCATTGCAAGCCCGCAGTGGGGGAGACCAGACGTGCAGCTGCTCCGCAGAAGCTCTGAGCCGTCTGGCTGCGATCTGTACCGGGGGGGGGGGGGGGGGGGGGGGGGGGGGGGGGGGGGGGGGGGGGGGGGGGGGGGGGGGGGGGGGGGGGAGAGGAGAGAGGAGAAGAGAGGAGGGAGGAAACGGGCTGGGCTGGCGATACAAAGAGCATTCGGGACCGCGCGTGCGTCATGCGGCCCCCCTCCCTCCCTTGCGCGCGCAAAGCGCTCTCTCTCTCTCTCTCTCCCACGCAAGGCGGAGAGGGAGGGGGAGAAGCGCGCGAGAGGCGTCGGGCGCGCGCCCCGCGCCGCTGCCCCCCCTCCTCCTCTTCCCCTCGCTTCCAATCAGCGCCCGTGATGAGCAAACAAAAAAGCGGCGCTTTGCAGCCCGAGTCGGGCAAAAGGGGTGGGGTTGTACCCATCCTTCCCCGGGGCGGTGGTGGCGCGGCCGAGGGAGGAGGGCAAGGGAACCAGGAAGGAAGGGAAGCGGCGCGCGGGGGCCGGAGCCAGACGGGCGCTCCCCGGGAAGCCGCGGCAGCGGCGGCGGCGGCGCCGGCTCGACTCCCCTCCCGCTCCCAGGCGGGCTGCGGCGCTGAGGGGAGGCTCGGGCGGGTTTCCCGCTGCGGGTTTCCTCCCCCCCCGCCTGTCTGGGGGAGGGGGAGGGGGGCGCAAAGGGGGGGGGAAAGATTGTTGGGGCGGCGCAAAAGGGGGGTGAGGGGCTTTTCTGGAGCCGGGTAAGGCGGGGCGGCGGCGGCGGCAGCGGGGAAGACGTCGGCGATGGTTGGGGGAGGGAATGGCTGCGGTCGGGGTCGGCCGCCATTTTAGGCGCCGCCATTTTCTGGCCCGCTCTGAAGCCGCGGCCGGCCAAGGCGGCGGCGGAGGCGCCCCTAACCCCTCCGGGGGCTGCCGGGGGCCCGAGCGACGCCCGGGCTGAGGTAAAAAAGGAACCCGGCTCTTGGAAGAGGAGAAAGGAGCCGGCCGCGAATGAGGCCCGGAGTAGGCCTCAGGTCGCGGCCTGGGCCGGGGCCTAAGCGGCCTGGCGCCCGTCCCTCCCGTCGCCGCCGCGCCTCTCCGTTTCTCTTGAGGTGCTTCCTTCGCTGCCTCGCCCGGCCGCGACCGGCGGCTGGGTGCCCCCATTCCCCCCACCTCCTCACCTTCGCTGGGCGGGCTCGGGCCCGAGCGGGGGTGGAGGCCGGAGGACACTCGGCCGCCTCGGCTGCCAGTTTTCCGGGCCTGGCATTCGAGGTCCGCCAGGTCCGAGGCCTGCACCAATCACAGGCTCGGGCTAGGAAACGGCAGGCGGGCGGGAGCGCGCGCGGCCTTCTC